TCTGTATTTTTTTATGGCTGTAGTTGTATCATGTGAAACATGATGTCTTTTGATCCGAAGCCCGGGAATGCAATAATAAAATGTTTGTAAATCATGTTTCCTATGTTATATCATTCCCGGGCCCTAGTTCTTGATGTTCGGTTTCCGCAACATTTTTTCATCTTTAAGCGCATTAACGATTATATTTATAGAAATTCGCCGTCAAGTTTAATTTACAAAGATTGAAATGCCCAGCTAGAGTCAGTTATAAAATTATCTGGAAAAAGAAAATCCTTTGGCGGAAATAAAGTATCCAAAACACACACAACACAATGTAGAGCTACTGGAAAAAGGATTTCAAACAACAAATATATTCATGACAGAAAATAATGAACTGACTTTTTTATTTGGAGAGGATTTCATCTATTTGAATTGGTTAACCAGGGATAATTCTTATATCTTCATTTCCTCTTAAAATTGTTATTCTAAATCTTCCAATTCAAGAAAATTTACAATAAGCAACTTGTCACGGGCAGTTCCTCAACGTGATCTTTACCTATATTTTATATGAAAAAACAAGGAGGAGGATTGGCTCCAGGGTGCAACATCGATATTCTGTCCCATATATGGGCATGTCGTGATACCATTTTGTCCACTTCAACATTTGAACATCGTGAATTTTGGTCTTATTTCCTGACGAAAAATTCCAAAATTCACAAGAAACGATCGAGATAATTTGGTTCAAATCTTTTGTCCTGTTTATTTTGAATTTATAGTCGGTTTTAATTTCAGAAAATAACGATGTTTTCATTGTTGAAAAATATTGAGTTTCGATACTGGGAGCCAATCCACCTTGTTGAAAAGATACAGTCGTAAAATTAACAAACAATATTTTATGATTGTAAAATGGAATTTCGATTTGGGTTTTTAATTCATGAGCTGTTGTGGTGCAGATTTTATGGAGATTTTAATGCATTCTCAATTTATGACAATAATTTGAACCAACCGCATAATAAGTACTCCCAGAACAGTAGTTTTTTGGTTATCCACACAGATAACAATACAATAAATACATTATAATTCAATAGTTTCTAACTTCCATAAGTACACATTTTTGCAAAACGATTTTTTAAAACGGCAGACGGGGAACTCAAATGTGAACTATCATGTTCCGTTAGGTACCCTAATTATATAAGGTACCCTGCGCGCAAAGTCAAGTTATAAACTGAAGACGAAGCTCTCTTTTAAGAAGCGAAGTCGAAAGAATGCAAATGTTAATGTCCCAAGACTATCAACAAACTATTGGGCTGCTGTCTAACATTTTCAACATTAAAATTGACGCAAATCAATTCGACAAATAATTTTTTCTAACTTTTTTTAACTTTCTCGGGAAATATCTAAATGCGATGATCTAAGGATTAGTCAATGCTGTGAACTTTAGAGTATATAACATATTAAAATTACTCCAAATGATAAGTAAAATTTATGAATGGAGCTCCACTTGTTCAAATCTTGTATACGCTAGTTGCATCATGTTATCTATCAACTACATGTATAGCGGAACTTACAGTTGCGGGGTTAGATAACGATCAAAGGCTCCCAGAATTTACCGACTCATAAACACATGTCATAATTAATTGTAAAAGCGTACATGTGTTAAGATATAGTAACCACCTATACATGTTTATGATAATCATAATCCTACGCGCATACAACTATTAAACTTGTTATATCTTTTTGATGATGATAAAGTCAACAATGACAATATTGATAGCCCAGCAATCCACAACATTGTAATGATATACCTATCATAGAAGGTAAATAAACAGCATCAAAGGGACCGAAAGAGCTCTTAAAGACTGCCCTGTGTACGAGGTACGTTGTACAAAAGAGGCACTACCATGTTTCTGTCTTGTTTCTACATTGCGAATTCTTTCATTTGACAATCGCAATGACTGATTGTTATAGAATGAATTATGTAGAAACCATGTTCCTACAACCGACTTCCACTTTCATGTGGGTTAAAACTAACCACTTTCGTTGTGAGATGAAAGGGATAAAGGGGAATTAAATTAGCCAAATAATTTTTAAATTTCATGTCCATGGTTCAAATGGTCGATTCGAATTGCTGATTGTTGAAGAGTATAAACTGATTTTTGCTTCGTTTAAAGACACCAGCTATACTCTAAAAATGATTAAGTTTGAGAGTCTACGAAGTCACCCAATTATAACAGTAGACTATAATGTATAAATAAGAAAATTTCTTTCATGATTTTAGGTAACAACTTGGTTGCAAAACCACGATGCTTGTGTAATCTGAGTTTTATTGTCTTGGATTTTCTCCAGAAAAATCAAAGGAATTCCAGAAGTTCAAGAATGGACCACAAACACACGACTGCATGCGACCAGTCTCAATTTATAGCTCGAGTTTCAATTTTAATAGGAAAATCAGAGGAACCTGTTAAATAAACGGAACATTACCAAACTGTTAATTGGTCTACATGTTCAGGTTTAATTATTTAAACTAACTTTGATACAGTTTGCGTAACGCGGCATCAGTTAGTCACCCATCTGTTAAAACGCTCACTTTATCAAGGTTTACATTTCTCGTAGACCCTTCAGGGAATTTTGGAACGCACTTGAGTAAATTCAAAAACAAAATTAGGCTGAAATGGATCCAAAGACGGTGCATCATTTGCAATTAGTCGTTAGTTTCTAACATTAGGGTTACGCGCGGGTGACCTATTACCCACTCTCATTAGAAAGTTTGTACACTTGAGCCAAGATCACAGGAATAGTTGATCATGATAGGCCCGGTGAGAATAAATCCATTATGAAGAAGATACCAGTATCATTCGATAACGAGGTATGGTTGAATTTCTCCCGAGTTTGGATTAGATTTTTGATGATTTGACACGTGTAGGGAGCAATAATTGCTCTGAAGAGTAGCAGAAGTTGGCACACTGTTAATTGAATGAGATAATAAAACTGACCATATTATCATTCAAATTATGTTCCTAGGTTTGTTTGTTAAAATTATAAATAGGAATAGTTTTTTAATTTTTCTGTTCTATTTTGACAAAAACTTATACACCGAACAGTTTTTACAACTTTTGCCCATTATATTGCAGCTGGAACGCAATGATGTTTTTACATGTGACAATTTTATCGAGTGTTCCCGCGTAAGGGAAAATTTGATGGAGTGAAGCGAGCAATGAATATCTATTTCAGAAAGTAGAAGATCCGAGACTAACTTATGGAATACTGAACAACCAGCTCGCTTGAAAAGTATTAACATGCAAAATGTCACGACCTGCCATTTGTTACAGACACCAAATACAATCCGCCGAAAACCAACCACCGAAGAAGAAAAAGTTGGAGACCATAAAAATGTCACCACTTGTGGTAGTGCCATAAAAACAGTTTTTTCTAATCCTCACACTGATATGCATTTTCTATTGCAAATTTTATCAAACAATACAATTTTATATTGGAAACATGCAAAAATAGCAACAAAAATCTCAAACCCTCATTAATTGCTTTTTAATTTCAAGTTCAAGAATAACATAAGAAAATATAAGTATCAAACTTTATCGAAAAAATTCTAAATTTTTTTCAAGACATTTCATAAAATTTTATTATAAAGACTATAAATCATTTGTGGATATAACTTACCACCTGTTTTTGGCTTGGGTAAGCTCAGGTCCATTTTTTTTGTTTTTGCGCTTCAATTTTGGTCGGTCTTCAAAAATTAGACTGTCAGCGTTGGAGGTAGAAATAACGGAAAGAAATTGAACTTCGAAGCGCTTATCGATTAAGACTTGAACAAGTTCAGATTCTCTGTTGTCGGGTTGGGCCAAATCAATTAGCAGATTATCTTAGGGTGATGTTGACAATACCTTTAATACCATTAGCTACGCATGCGCGATAACAATCAAAATATGATGATCTTATACGAGGGGGCGGGACGTCGATTACTTACCCATGTAAACAAACGACCACGCATTTTGTAGTATTTTTTATCATCACAACCAATTAGTCAAATTAGGGTGAATACATAGCTACCACCCTGGAACAACCAAGTTTCCAAACCACAATGGAACTAAACACAGACCTGAACTGACCCAAACCTCTCTGTGATAACAACTTTATGGTTACACTATCTCAATCAAGATATCAGACTGTATATCAAATCGGCACCTGGAATTTATTTATTTTCACCAACTCTGATTATAAATAAGAGAATAATGAAAAAAATAATTCGCTTCTTAAGAGAGCTTCGTCTTCGTACATGTAGTGTATACTACACTCTGCGCGCATGGTACCCAAACACACGTGCTTAGAATCTTAATGGATGACAAAGATTATCAAGAATTAAACAAGTTGATAACTGAGGAAATGTTACTTTGACAGTATGTTTTGTCTCATCATTGCATTTATGCAATTTTCGAACAGTTCTGATTTTATTTTAAGATAAGATTTTGATTTTGAAGGTTACCACGTAGAAATGAAAAAGTTAGCTCTTTCTTAAATGATTAACGAAAGGTGCCACAATTAGTCAGTGTCAAAATAGTAGAGGTTACATGATATCTGACTCAAATTTGGTCTCTAAAGAATTTCTAACTGTGGTCTCTTGAGTGTGTGTGTGTGTGTGTTAAGGGGGGGGGGCTCTTGTGTTAGTGTGACTTGGGGTAAAGAAGTGGGATGATTATATCTTGGAATTGGTTATGTCTGAGACTAAGTCTCAGGTCAGGCTATGTCAAGTTCTTATTAATTATCGCTAGGACGTATCATTCGTCAGTCGTCACGCTCACTCGTCATTCGTCACAACAACAACGACGCTCATTTCAGAGTGTCCCAAACTGCATCATAATAAAGAACAGTGTTTAAATAAGTAAGGAGTCATCTGCTAAACGAATGTAGGAGATTGCAGTGTTTGCTGAAGTTTTGTGGACAGGCGGGTCTGGCACAACCAAAAATTGTGTTATAGTTTTTACTGTTTCCACTAGGTGTCAGGTCAAAGGTCACGTGGTGGAGGGAAATTTAACAAAATGTTTTGCGAAAAGGCTTTGGACCTTATTAGAGAACTACAAAGATCGAGAGGGGCATCTTTGCCACCATTCAATGTAAGTTACCATACGTCTGATTGATTTCCTTCGCAATTTTAGGACAATTTACATTTTGGTTGCATCAAATTTGGATTGAAATCACTCGTTATTCGAATTTCACATATTATCGCCCACTAAAGTCCATTTCACTGCTTCATTTCGCCAGTAGAGCAGCAAAAATAAGAAATTGGGAGACCATTGTGCAATAATATATGAAAAAGTATATTCATAATGTACATGAATGACATTTGTATATTTCAGATTTTTTAGTTTTTTGTGCAATAAGCCTGTGCCGTCTTGTAATTTGAAGAATTTCAGCCATGTTAAGGTGACATTTAAGTTAATCAAAATTACAAAAACATGGGAGCCATATTTTTTTTTTATAAAGTCAGAAGATTTTGTATACTGTTTCCTTGTATGTGAATGCATTTCCTGACTAAAGAGACACATAAAAGAAAACCTCACATTTAAACGCATTTTTCATAACTATGAATTGGAGGTGCATGGCACCCCAAAGCTCGCATGAAGAGTGTGAAGTGAGGCTATTTTTTGAAAGTTTCAAGGAGCAGCCTTGAAACAGTCACACATTTGCAAGAATTCAAAATTTCCAGATATAATCTTACCTTACCAAGGAACAACGAAGGAGCATGAAAATGTGTACTTCTTGCATTGTTAGAGTATAATAAAGCTCAAACCATTGTGAATTCTAAATATTTCATGTCTACCATTTTGTTTCCTGGAACTATTTTTTAGTCCAGAGTTATTCTCATTCATGTATCCATTGTTTATCATTCATAAAGCCTCTATCATGTATCTATCATGATAATTATACTGTAATAGATAAAATATACAGGTGATAATCCATGCCACTTGGTGAAGTCACAAAACTTGTATGAGGATTAATCAGGAAGTCTAGAAGTAGTTCCGGCAAATAAAATGGTGGACATGAAATATTTAGAATTTACAATGGTTTGAGCTTTATTATACTCTAACAATGCAAGAAGAACACATTTTAATGCTCCTTCATTGTTCCTGGGAAAGGTAAGATGATTTGTGGAAATTTTAGACTCTTGCAAATGTGTGACTGTTGCAAGACTACTCCTTGAAACTTTCTAAAATTAGCCTCACTTCGCACTCTTCATGCTAGCTTTGGGGATCTATACACCTCCAATTCATAGTTTAGAAAAATGCGTTTATGTGTGATGTTAACTTTGACATGTTTCATTTGTCAAGATATACAATTCATATACAAGGTAAACAGATTTTAAAAACATGTGTCTTTATCAAAAAAATATGGCAGTCATTTTTTGTACTTTTTATTTAATTTAGCTTCGCCTTAATCTTATTGAAAATAACATGGCAGAGAAACATCCAAATAGAAGAGGCCACACACTTTATAAGCCAAACTAGAAGCAATCCAAGATATACAAATGTCATTCATGTACATTATGAATATACTTTTCCATATATTATTGCACAATGGTCTCCCAATTTCTTATTTTTGCCATTCTACTGACGAAATGAAGCAGTGAAATGGACTCTAGCTCTAAATTTAAAAATTATGAATTGGAATCTACATTACAAACTCACTGCAGATTGGTGAATGTGGCAGGTTTGGATTTATTATGATTTTTTGCATAACGTTTGTGTTCTTCTGTCCACTGACAGGGTTTCAACTTTTAAATTACTCGTTTTCCTGTGGTTTCATTTTACCACAGGAATTCGTCTTGTAGAAGGAAAAATAAGTCGATAGAGCAAGCCTTGACTCAATAAGCATAAAAGTAAAAAGGAAATTATCCTCGTAAGGCTTAAGGCCAAAAATGCCAGGGAAATGTAAAAAATATTCATACTTTTACCTTCTTCTAAGGCCACTGTATCGTGGCCTTCGTCCTAGGATAAATTCCTGCATGACGTGCATGTATAACGGGTCATGTCGTAATCATTGAAATCAAATGTCCGCCATTTTTCCACATCACAATTTAAATTTTTGGTCTTTAAAGTTTTGGTCTTATTACCTCACCAAAAATTCCAAAACACACATGAAGTGATCAATGTATTAGTTCACATCTTCTGGATCGTTAACTTAGAATTTACAGCCAGTTATTAACGACATTTCGTCCAGTTTTCGAATATCGCCATTTTTCTTGGAGCCATTTGTTTTAATTTTAGACAAAATCCTCACGAAATCATGCAATATCTCATCAAGGAGCCGAGCCGGTCCGATTTTAATTAATGATTTATTTATCTGGTGATTTTTAAAATATTCAATAAATTTATGACACGCCAGCCAGCTTTTTTCAAATGTATTCCAGATGAAATTACCTCTAGCCAAGAATTGGCTAGAGACTCGAGTAATCATACTGCAGCCCCTCATTGGATAGGTTATAAGCACATAAATCCTATAAGATGAAGAAAATTGTGTTCAGACGCCTTAACCCTTTCACGACAATAGGCTCCATATGGAGCCCTATTATGTAATACCTTTCAGGACGATAGGCTCCTTTTGGCACCATTATTTTTATCTATATACATCAATGAAATGACAATATCTCCAGTTCTATTCAGTATTTTGACACCAATTTTTGACAAGTTGTTCTAATGTGATAATCCTTACTAAAAATTGTATTTCAGTGATAAAATTCAGGGTATAGGTCCCGGGGCGTAGGTATTTTGCAGTTTTCCCCTAAAAACTGCTCTTACTTATCCATCACCAGAGCCAACATTTTCCTCTTATATTCACGTCGGGAAAGGGTTAAGGTGAAGTGGTACTTAACAGGAAATGACAAAACAGGAAGTGACAAAACATGTGGCATTTTTTAGACATCTTTTGAACAAAGATAACAGAGTTCTGTTTTGACCTCCAGTCAATTTAAATATTTCCACATATCATTTACAGGACCAGGATCACAATGTACATGATCAGAATGACCCTAAACATGATGAAATAACCCTAACCGAAATAACCGAAATAACCCTAACCCTAACCCTAACCGTATGTATCCAATATTGATAAAACAGGATTAGACAGGGTTTTCTGTATTGTATCTTTTTAATGTTTAACAGCTGCCAGTGATGAAGCGGTAAAAGGTCTGATGACACATGAACATTTACATATATATCACATGGCATTCCCAGCATGCTTTATATGTTTCTTCATATTATTGAAGCTGTAGTATGATAACATACAAAGCATACATTAATAATCCTAGAAGGGGCAAGTTTTAGAGGGTACAACTTGTGCCAAAAAGGGATTTACATATATGGTACATCGGGGACTTTAGTCTCTGTATGTGCTAGAGAGGATGAAGTTTGGGAATGTTATGGATATATATGTATCACATGTTGTTTATGATCTCAACTAGAATCTGAGGCACTCACTATTATTTTATAATATTTACTACTTCAATATATATCGCTAATCTCCCCACCCTTAAAGCAAGTGGGCGCAGCACCCACATGAAAATCTCTTTGCACCCACTTCAAAATGAGAAAAATCATGAAAAATTGGCATATTTTGACCAATTTTTGTCTGAATTGTGAAAATGAGAATTTTGCACCCACCTGAGAAAAAATCCTGGGGAGATCACTGTATATAATTCAAGATCAAAAGTTCAAAACTAAATGTCAGCATTGTGATATACTACTTAGATCATCCATTTGAGCTGAAACAGAACTATTGCAATTTATTAATAATTATACTGTACTTGTATATTGCATAACTATTCTTGCTGATATCACAAATAAGATTTATACATGTTTATTTATAGGAGGACACTTTGAGACATGTACTGGAAGAAATGAAAGCACTTTATGAACAGAACCAGCAAGATGTGTAAGTTTGTTTTTACATATTGAATTAAGTATTACCCTGCATGCAAAGTCTAGTTATAAACTACAAATGATGAAGCTCTCTTTTAAGAAGTGAATTTCGAACAAGTGCAAAGAGTTTTATTTTGTTTGGTGAGCATTTTGATTTAGTAAATTTTGAGGTGTAATTTAATGAATTAAGCAGCACGAAATAGTGATAGATACAGTATTTATGCCTTTTTGGTCATTTTGTGACATATTGTTATAGTCACCCACTTTTTTGATGACAGTGTTTAGCAGGTGGTGTCCATAACAAATGGTAGGTGGTGACTTTTTGCATGTTAATTTCAACCAAATACGCACTAAGTTTGGTAGTTGGTGTTCTGTGGTCAGGATCTCTAACAAAAGGCCGGTGGTGACATTTTGCACGTTAATGCCTTGTTTTGCCTGCTCTTGTGTTGTTTAATGAATCCCATGGACTTCATTCTTTTTCTGATCTTAGCAATGATGCAGTGCAGGGAGAAGCTGGTTTGTTCTCTGGTGTACAGATCAGGCATGCTGCCCTGGAGAGAAACAAACGCTGCATTTTAGCTTACCTGTATGTATCCCTTATATACTGTATATAGAAACACCTGAGAAACACCCCTAGCATTAAGTGAAGTCGTGGAATTAATACAATAAATGTTGACAACAGTTCCTACTTTCTTCTGTCAATATGATTAAATGTAACATAAAAGCATCGTTGAAATTTGAACTATGTGTCATAAATGTTATTTGTCAATTTAACTTTTTTTTATGCATGTACTAATTTTTACATTTTAGACAAAATCGTTTGAAGACAACACGAGATATGAGATGGGAGTTTGGAAGTGTCCTTCCTGCTGACGTCAAATACAACTTGTCAGAAGCTGAGGTTAGAATCTTTTCATATACCACAAAGTTAAATAAAATAGTTTCAGAGTTTCCAATGTAGTAAAACGCTCCCTTGGGCCATGGGGCATCAGTCAATGTAGTTACAACGCAATGAAATAACATGTGCATTGAATCGAGCTATTTTTTAAGTCTGACTACTTCATTTTAATTCATTCACATCTGTTAATTATTCATCATTTTGAATTGTTCCCTTATTTTAACCTCTTGGATAAAATGGATAAATCTTTTGTAAGAATATTTAACTTTTTCAGAGGTATGGATGTTGAAGGACTGGTTTGTTTTCAGAAATACAGATACATTTTCAAATTTTGGTGCATTTTAGAGTAACTTTGAGTTTTGAAATAATAGTATTGAGATGCATAAAATGATCTACTTTGTTTTTCAGATCCAATGGTTTAATAAATACAACAAATCCTTGGCCAACTATATGAGGTCCCTGGGAGAGGATGGGGGTCTTGATCTCACACAAGACATGAAACCACCAAAGACACTGTACATTGAGGTATTTACAGTGTGTGTTTGGTGTATTATACTGTTTGACTGACTAGTATTCTGCCACATGTATATGTTGTGGTCATGTTTGAACTAGAGCCTGTGGCGTTCCACAATGTAAATGTGTGCATCTTATAGCCAAATTGAATGTCTATGTTAGCTTTGTTATGTCACCACCAAAAGTGGTGACATATTGTTATGGTCTCCGTTTTTTTGCGACGGCGGTTGGTGGTTGGAGGTTGGCGTCTGGCGTCCGGCGTCTGTAACAATTTCTTACAACTTCCTATAACTTAACAAATACTGTTTAGACTGACTTCAATTTTTTTCTAAATCATCTACATGTTCTCAGAAGTTCAAATCTGACTTTAGATTTGACATTTGACCTTCAATGACCTTCTCAAGGTCAAAAAGGTCTTTTTTCAACTTGCTTCACATTGACTAAATTTTTTTTCAAAATCATCTACATGTTCTCAGAAATTCAAATCTGACTTTAGATTTGACATTTGACCTTCAAATCTGACTTTAGATTTGACATTTAACCTTCAATGACCTTCTCAAGGTCAAAAAATGTCAAAAAGGTCTGTTTTCAACTTGCTTCAAATTGACTAAATTTTTTTTTCAAAATCATCTACGTGTTCTCAGAAATTCAAATCTGACTTAAGATTTCATTTAAGATTTGACCTTCAATGACCTTCTCAAGGTCAAAAAAGGTCAAAAAGGTCTGTTTTCAACTTGCTTCAAATTGACTAAAAAAAATTTTCAAAATCATCTACGTGTTCTCAGAAATTCAAATCTGACTTTAGATTTGACTTAAGATTTGACATTTGACCTTCGAGGAGTGAAAATGAGAATTTGAGGAGATTAATAGTTCAGAGTATATAAGGACGTGTCATACCTTAATCTCTTCGTTTATATATGCTTTCAGTAAAAAAATATATATTTTAAATCATAGTGAGGGACAATGATGTTTTAGACGCCCGTTTCCATGGCAACTAAATTTTACCACTGCTAATGAGGACTATTTCTAATATTAAATATATCTTTGTCATTTTTTATCCGATTTTGATGATATTAACGCCAAATGAAAGCTTAAGGAACAAAGATAATGATTGATTAAAAATTATGCAAATTAGCTCATTTGCATATCAACTGTGACGTCATAATCCAATTTTTTGTTCAATAATATATGTTTTTTTAATACTTTAAACAATACAAACTATTGTTTCATTGAATCATTGAGGATAACTTAGGATATCTTATTAAAGTATAAATATTTAACATCATAGCTCCATTATGATATAAAATATGAGGCATAATAACTATGAAAAGTATAAATGTAGTGTATTGAAGTTGTTTATTTGAAAATTTTAGTGCTGATAAATGTACCTTTATAATGAAACAGGGAACTTGAAATGAAGTTTCACAATCTAACTTTAATTATAACATTTTAATAAATACTGTGCCAAATGAAAGCTACTAGTTTACCCTATATGTATTTAATGATAACTAATGCAGAAATCTGTGTTATTGATATATCGGTTACCATGGCAACCACATTAAATAACAAAAAGATTGTTCCTGTTATCTAGTATATCTGATCATTTATTATCTCTTATATCATTGTTCAGGCCAATTTCAAACAATTCAATTTTTTCAAGTCATTTAAAATTGTTTTCCAGATCAGGTTTTATTATCCTAGAATTATATCATCCCTTGAACAATTATATTTCTGAATTTTTGCTTCTTTCACTATAATGTTTTGTTATACATCCACTTGGCAGTCATGTCTTCAGTTATGTGTGGTTATGTGTTCAGGCTAAGTAAAAATGATGGCAGTTACGTATTCAGGCATTGGCACTGAATTTGTAGGTAAAGATGGTGGCAGTTATGTCTTCAGGCATTGGCACTGAATTCATAAGTAGAGATGGTAGTAGTTATGTCTTCGGGCATTTGCACTGAATTTGTAGGTAAAGATGGTGGCAGTTATGTCTTCAGGCATTGGCACTGAATTCGTAGGTAAAGATGGTGGCAGTTACGTCTTCAGGCATTGGCACTTAATTCATAGGTAAAGATGGTAGCAATTATGTCTTCAGGCATTGGCACTGAATTCATAGGTAGGGATGGTGGCAGATATGCCTTCAAGTATTGGCACTGAATTCATAGGTAGAGATGGTGGCAATTATGTCTTCAGACATTGGCACTGAATTCATAGGTAAAGATGGTGGCAGATATGTCTTCAGGCATTGGCACTGAATTCATAGGTGAAGATGGTAGTAGTTATGTCTTCAGGCATTGGCACTGAATTCATAGGTAAAGATGGTGGTAGTCATGACTTCAGGCATTGGTAGTGATTTCATAGGTAAAGATGGTAGTAGTTATGTATTCAGGCATTGGCACTGAAAAGATGGTGGTAGTTATGTCTTCAGGCATTGGCACTGAATTCATAGGTAAAGCTGGTAGCAGTTAAGTCTTGGGGCATTGGCACTGAATTCATAAGGAGAGATGATAGAAGTTATGTCTTCAGGCATTGGCACTGAATCCATAGGTAATGATAGTGGCAGTTATGTCTTCAGGCATTGGCACCGAATTCATAGGTAAAGATGGTAGTAGTTATGTCTTCAGGCATTGGCACTGAATTCATAGGTAAAGATGGTGGCAGATATGTCTTCAGGCATTGGCACTGAATTCATAGGTAGTGATGGTAGCAGTTATGTCTCCAGGCATTGGCACTGAATTCATAGGTAAAGATGGAGGCAGATATGTCTTCAGGCATTGGCACTGAATTCATAAGTTAAGATGGTGGCAGTTATGTCTTCAGGCATTGGCACTGAATTCATAGGTGAAGATGGTGGAAGCCATGACTTCAGGCATTGGCACTGAATTCATATATTAAGATGTTGGCAGTTACGTCTTCAGGCATTGGCACTGAATTCATAGGTAAAGATGGTGGCAGATATGTCTTCAGGCATTGGCACTGAATTCATAGGTTAAGATGGTGGAAGCCATGACTTCAGGCATTGGCACTGAATTGATATATCAAGATGTTGGCAGTAATGTCTTCAGGCATTGGCACTGAATTCGTAGGTAAAGCTGGTGGCAGTTATGTCTTCAGGCATTGGCACTGAATTCATAAGTAAGGATGGTGGTAGTTATTTCTCCAGGCATTGGCACTGAATTCATGGGTAAAGATAGTGGTAGTCATGACTTCAGGCATTGGCACTGAATTCATAGGTAAAGATGGTGGTAGTCATGACTTCAGGTATTGGCACTGAATTCATAGGTGAAGGTGGTAGTAGTTATGTCTTCGGGCATTGGCATCGAATTTGGCACGGAAATTTGCGGAGAATGAGCAGATGTTCTATAATAGACAGATCTTGAAGGCACCCAGTATTTGACCAGTGTCCAAATAAATATCTCACCTCTGAATTTAAGAATATACATTTTTACAAATAGCTGCATCTCCGAGGCATGGGCATAGAATTGTGCATCCACTAGATGCACATTCACAATTTTTAAGGCATATGGCCTTCCCTTTGCAAGAGCAAAGAAATCCTTCAATGACTTCTGAAGCTGAGGGGCCTTCAAACTTTGTAGTCACAATATCCCCTTCCACCAATGACCACACATGCCCTATTCTTTCTGGAAGTTCAGGATATGATTTGTGTAATTGTGTCCATTGCAAACTCTGCCACAAGGCTCTCAGTGCATGTTGACGAAATGCAGGTTCACTTGGTGGTAATTTGAGTAGGGATTTGTATTTTACTGAGGTTTTCAATAAGTGAGCGCGTAATTTTCCTAGATTGCCTAGTTTTAATAGATCGTGTTGTTTGGGATCATACATATTCCCCACTTTTCTTCTTGCATCATCAATGAAGCTATCCATTTCAAGAGTCTTCATCCCATCGAAGCCATCACATCCTACCTTTTCAATAGTCTTTACAAAAGCCTTTTTTGCCATGACCATAGAAAGATGATGTAATGTCACATCCTGACATGGCATTCAACATTGGTAGTAGACTACAGAACATGTGCCCCCTTTGGTCAACAATGCAGTGAATAGGAATAAATCTGTGGTTGTTGGTTGTCCCAGTGGCTTTCCCAGTTTCAATCCATATCTTATGTGTGTTGATCATTTTTTTGAAATAGTAAACTGCAAGAACAAGAACATCAGTATCTAGAGATTTAATGACTACTTCATGGTTTCCTGGGTCTGCCTCTTCGTCGAGTTTCATGAGGTGAAATATTACTCGTGTATCAGCTTCCTCGTGTGAGGATGCTAGAGCATCAATACTCTTTTTCTGTTGTTTCGAAATCATCACACATGTTTCACCTTCTTCTTTGAGTCCTCCTGCTATGTAAAGTTTTTGTGACCCAATCAAATACTTATGAATAGTGGTCATAACATATTTGTGATGAAGTCCACAATACAGGCCTTGTTGTCATCAACATTTAGAAATTTTCTCCAGTCTGGTACCATTCTCTCTGATTTAACCTGATATATCTTTTCATGCCCAGCCATTTTTCTCCTTTTTCTCTCTTCAGCCTTTGGAGAGTCAGCCTTATCATACCTATCAAACACCAGTATCACAGTGCTAGCTAGTCTGAGCCAGCATATGATTTAATTAAGGAAGTGTTGCCCAATTTGGTAAAAGTTGTTGAACTTGTCTCCCCGTATGGCCTGTATAACACACATTCCATCAATTATATATGATGTGTTATCTGGATCAGAGGAAGGGAAAATAGTCGTTTGATTGACTTGCAAAACCTTGACAAGGTCTGACTTGACATTCTTCCTCATGCTTCCATCATCATGGAATATTGCAGGAGGGATTATGGTAATTGGATGTTCTAGCATAGTATCTATGTTGACATGAGGTCTTTTGTTGCAAATTGTTAATGCTCTTTGGAAGATGGTTTCAGCACCTATTGCAACAGCCATAGTCTCTGTCCTTGTTTTAACCTTGGACTTTGGGTGCATGTCACAAAATGTTACAAGTTTGTTTTGTTTTA